AAAGGGAAACGCCAAGTTTGGTTGCAATATAGTTGAATTTTTGTGCAATGGACACACGCTCAGACAAGTGAACGGTGTTTGTAAATTACCATGGTGACGCGTTAGTCAAAATTTGAGAATATATTCGTGAAATATTTAGTTTTCATCTCAACTGAAACCGAGACAGAGGATTGAAGGCGTTGATTTTCATCAGTAAATCGTCTTAAGGTAAGTTGCAATAAACACGTTCATGTAATATCACCTGTCATGCAGATGGTTGAGTCATTACCAGTTATATTTAGCATAAGAGACCGTGTGTGAGTGTGTCATAGTGTTGATGAGTGGGAGACACTTGAGTGTGTCATAGTGCTGGTGAGTGGGAGACGCTTGAGTGTGAGTGTGTCATAGTACTGGTGAGTGGGAGACGCTTGAGTGTGAGTGTGTCACAGTACTGGTGAGTGGGAGACGCTTGAGTGTGTCATAGTACTGGTGAGTGGAGGACGCTTGAGTGTGTCATAGTGCTGGTGAGTGGGAGACGCTTGAGTGTGTCATAGTGCTGGTGAGTGGAGGACGCTTGAGTGTGTCATAGTGCTGGTGAGTGGGAGACGCTTGAGTGTGTCATACTGCTGGTGAGTGGGAGACGCTTGAGTGTGTCATAGTACTGGTGAGTAGAGGACGCTTGAGTGTGTCATAGTGCTGGTGAGTGGGAGACGCTTGAGTGTGTCATAGTGCTGGTGAGTGGAGGACGCTTGAGTGTGTCATAGTACTGGTGAGTGGGAGACGCTTGAGTGTGTCATAGTGCTGGTGAGTGGAGGACGCTTGAGTGTGTCATAGTGCTGGTGAGTGGAGGACGCTTGAGTGTGTCATAGTACTGGTGAGTGGGAGACGCTTGAGTGTGTCATAGTACTGGTGAGTGGAGGACGCTTGAGTGTGTCATAGTGCTGGTGAGTGGGAGACGCTTGAGTGTGTCATAGTGCTGGTGAGTGGAGGACGCTTGAGTGTGTCATAGTGCTGGTGAGTGGAGGACGCTTGAGTGTGTGTGTGTCATAGTACTGGTGAATGCAGGACGCTTGAGTGTGAGTGTGTCATAGTGCTGGTTAGTGCGAGACGCTTGAGTGTGTGTGTGTCATAGTACTGGTGAGTGGGAGACGCTTGAGTGTGTGTGTCATAGTACTGGTGAGAGGGAGACGCTTGAGTGTGTGTGTGTCATAGTACTGGTGAGAGGGAGACGCTTGAGTAAGTGTGTGTCATAGTACTGGTGAGTGCGAGACGCTTGAGTGAGAGTATGAGGGCCAAGACAGTGCTCCAGGGTGAGGTTGTCCAGCACCCGCCCTCACCGTAAATAATGTATCATGTATTCTCTATCCCGCCTTCCCCGCTGCTCGAAGGCTTCACTCACAGTGGCGCTCCACGGGGTCACTCACAGCGACGCTCCACGGGGTCACTCACAGCGGCGCTCTACGGGGTCACTCACAGCGGCGCTCTACGGGGTCACTCACAGCGGCGCTCTACGGGGTCACTCACAGCGGCGCTCTACGGGGTCACTCACAGGGGCGCTCCACGGGGTCACTCACAGGGGCGCTCCACGGGGTCACTCACAGGGGCGCTCCACGGGGTCACTCACAGGGGCGCTCCACGGGGTCACTCACAGCGGCGCTCTACGGGGTCACTCACAGCGGCGCTCTACGGGGTCACTCACAGCGGCGCTCCACGGGGTCACTCACAGGGGCGCTCCACGGGGTCACTCACAGGGGCGCTCTACGGGGTCACTCACAGCGGCGCTCTACGGGGTCACTCACAGCGGCGCTCTACGGGGTCACTCACAGCGGCCATCTACGGGGGTCACTCACAGCGGCGCTCTACGGAGTCACTCACAGCGGCGCTCCACGGGGTCACTCACAGGGGCGCTCTACGGGGTCACTCAGGGGCGCTCCACGGGGTCACTCACAGGGGCGCTCCACGGGGTCACTCACAGGGGCGCTTCACGGGGTCACTCACAGGGGCGCTTCACGGGGTCACTCACAGGGGCGCTCCACGGGGTCACTCACAGCGGCGCTCCACGTGGTCATTCACAGCGGCGCTCTATGGGGTCACTCACAGCGGCGCTCTACGGGGTCACTCACAGCGGCGCTCTACGGGGTCACTCACAGGGGCGCTCTACGGGGTCACTCACAGCGACGCTCCACGGGGTCACTCACAGGGGCGCTTCACGGGGTCACTCACAGGGGCGCTCCACGGGGTCACTCACAGGGGCGCTCCACGGGGTCACTCACAGGGGCGCTCCACGGGGTCACTCACAGGGGCGTTCCACGGGGTCACTCACAAGGGCCAGCGTGAGGGGCCGTGTGTGGAGGGTGGGAACTTCGTGCACACAATAATGCAGAGTGAACATCACGCAAGGCAACAAGAATGTTGGTGCGCACTTGTAACGAATGTTGATCGTCATTGTTTCGTGAAGGTACATTATATGATGGGTGAGGGTGGCAGCGTGAGTATAGTGAGGTATGATGACAAGTGACCCGTCCCCTGCTTGGTCTGTAGTTACTGCCGCACGCATACGCTTGTCGCCGCCGGTAACTACCGTAATACAACTCATCCTCATGTTTACATACCACCTATTGTCACGGTCGTCGGTAGTCACGAATTCGTACGTACCAAGTTTATAGAAGGTAGTGTATTGACTAGTAGGGAATTCTTTAAAATAATAAATAAAACTAAACAACACACTTAAATATTCCTAGGCCTTGTATAGCACACATATGTACTATATTAGGCCTCAGATATCGTGTATTAGGCCTTGGAAGGCTTAATATCCTCATCCCTTTATTGCAGTTTGAACTCGGGTCCATTGAACTAGGAGTGTGTAGAGTGGCCGCTCACCACCCCACACATTGTCCTGCTGGGTTGTGGTGCTCATCAGCGGCAGTATTGCTGGTCCTGGCACACACACTCCCGTTACTGCACCAGTGTCAGCCTTCCATACGTGAGGCATGGTCGCCTCTGACACCAGTGTCAGCCTTCCATACGTGAGGCATGGTCGCCTCCGACACCAGTGTCAGCCTTCCATACGTGAGGCATGGTCGCCTCCGACACCATTGTCAGCCTTCCATACGTGAGGCATGGTCGCCTCCGACACCATTGTCAGCCTTCCATACGTGAGGCATGGTCGCCTCTGACACCATTGTCAGCCTTCCATACGTGAGGCATGGTCGCCTCCGACACCATTGTCAGCCTTCCATACGTGAGGCATGGTCGCCTCTGACACCAGTGCCAGCCTTCCATACGTGAGGCATGGTCGCCTCTGACACCAGTGCCAGCCTTCCATACGTGAGGCATGGTCGCCTCCGACACCATTGTCAGCCTTCCATACGTGAGGCATGGTCGCCTCCGACAGTGTGGTGTACTCACCTAGTTGTGCTTGCGGCGGTTGAGCTCTGGCTCTTTGGTCCCGCCTCTCAACCGTCAATCAACTGATGTACAGATTCCCGAGCCTACTGGGCTCTATCATATCTTCCTTTGAAACTGTGTATGGAGTCAGCCTCCACCACATCACTGCCTAATGCATTCCATCTGTTAACTACGCTGGCACTGATAAAGTTTTTTCTAACGTCCCTGTGGCTCATTTAGATACTTGGTCTCCACCTGTGTCCCCTTGTTCGCGTACCACCCGTGTTAAACAGTTTATCCTTGTCTACCCTCTCAATTACTCTGAGAATTTTGTAGGTAGTGATCATGTCTTCCCTTACTCGGGTTGTGGTATTGGTGTGTACTCGGGTTGTGGTGTTGTGTTGTACTCGGGTTGTGGTATTGGTGTTGTACTCGGGTTGTAGGGTTGTGTTGTACTCGGGTTGTGGTAGTGGAGTGAACTCGGGTTGTGGTTGTGAGTTGTACTCGGGTTGTGGGGTCGTGTTGTACTCGGGTTGTGGTGGTGGGTGGTCCTCAGGTTGTGGTGGTGGGTTGTACTCGGGTTGTGGTGGTGGGTGGTTGTACTCAGGTTGTGGTGGTGGGTTGTACTCGGGTTGTGGTGGTGGGTTGTACTCGGGTTGTGGTGGTGGGTTGTACTCGGGTTGTGGTGGTGGGTTGTACTCGGGTTGTGGTGGTGGGTTGTACTCAGGTTGTGGTGGTGGGTTGTACTCGGGTTGTGGTGGTGGGTTGTACTCGGGTTGTGGTGGTGGGTTGTACTCGGGTTGTGGAGGTGGGTTGTACTCGGGTTGTGGAGGTGGGTTGTACTCGGGTTGTAGTGGTGGGTTGTACTCGGGTTGTGGTGGTGGGTTGTACTCGGGTTGTGGTGGTGGGTTGTACTCGCGTTGTGGTGGTGGGTTGTACTCGGGTTGTGGTGGTGGGTTGTACTCGGGTTGTGGTGGTGGGTTGTACTCGGGTTGTGGTGGTGGGTTGTACTCGGGTTGTGGTGGTGGGTTGTACTCGGGTTGTGGTGGTGGGTTGTACTCGGGTTGTGGTGGTGGGTTGTACTCGGGTTGTGGAGGTGGGTTGTACTCGGGTTGTGGAGGTGGGTTGTACTCGGGTTGTGGTGGTAGGTTGTACTCGGGTTGTGGTGGTGGGTTGTACTCGGGTTGTAGTGGTGGGTTGTACTCGGGTTGTGGTGGTGGGTTGTACTCTGGTTGTGGAGGTGGGTTGTACTCGGGTTGTGGTGGTGGGTTGTACTCGGGTTGTAGTGGTGGGTTGTACTCGGGTTGTGGTGGTGGGTTGTACTCGGGTTGTAGTGGTGGGTTGTACTCGGTTTGTGGTGGTGGGTTGTACTCGGGTTGTGGTGGTGGGTTGTACTCGGGTTGTAGTGGTGGGTTGTACTCGGGTTGTGGTGGTGGGTTGTACTCGGGTTGTGGTGGTGGGTTGTACTCGGGTTGTGGTGGTGGGTTGTACTCGGGATGTGGTGGTGGGTTGTACTCGGGTTGTGGTGGTGGGTTGTACTCGCCACAAGTGGTTATACCCGCCACATGCTTCCCTCTATATCAACCCTCTCGCATATTCTCATATAATTCCATATTCTCCTTTTATATTCATAGTTAGTATTGTTTGTCTGCGGAATAGCAATTCTGCAGACATTCAGCTTCAGCAATGAAGCTGAATAAAGAATATGATCATGTTTGCTTGAGTAAGTTGGTATGAATGATGAGTGGGAACCTAAGTAACAAAGATGGTATGAATGATGAGTGGGAACCTGGGTAACAAAGTTGGTATGAATGATGAGTGGGAACCTGGGTAACAAAGATGGTATGAATGATGAGTGGGAACCTGGGTAACAAAGATGGTATGAATGATGAGTGGGAACCTGGGTAACAAAGATGGTATGAATGATGAGTGGGAACCTGGGTAACAAAGATGGTATGAATGATGAGTCGGAACCTGGGTAACAAAGATGGTATGAATGATGAGTGGGAACCTGGGTAACAAAGATGGTATGAATGATGAGTGGGAACCTGGGTAACAAAGATGGTATGAATGATGAGTGGGAACCTGGGTAACAAAGATGGTATGAATGATGAGTGGGAACCTGGGTAACAAAGATGGTATGAATGATGAGTGGGAACCTGGGTAACAAAGATGGTATGAATGATGAGTGGGAACCTGGGTAACAAAGATGGTATGAATGATGAGTGGGAACCAGGGTAACAAAGATGGTATGAATGATGAGTGGGAACCTGGGTAACAAAGATGGTATGAATGATGAGTGGGAACCTGGGTAACAAAGATGGTATGAATGATGAGTGGGAACCTGGGTAACAAAGATGGTATGAATGATGAGTGGGAACCTGGGTAACAAAGATGGTATGAATGATGAGTGGGAACCTGGGTAACAAAGATGGTATGAATGATGAGTGGGAACCTGGGTAACACAGATGGTATGAATGATGAGTGGGAACCTGGGTAACAAAGATGGTATGAATGATGAGTGGGAACCTGGGTAACAAAGATGGTATGAATGATGAGTGGGAACCTGGGTAACAAAGATGGTATGAATGATGAGTGGGAACCTGGGTAACAAAGATGGTATGAATGATGAGTGGGAACCTGGGTAACAAAGATGGTATGAATGATGAGTGGGAACCTGGGTAACAAAGATGGTATGAATGATGAGTGGGAACCTGGGTAACAAAGATGGTATGAATGATGAGTGGGAACCTGGGTAACAAAGATGGTATGAATGATGAGTGGGAACCTGGGTAACAAAGAAGGTATGAATGATGAGTGGGAACCTGGGTAACAAAGATGGTATGAATGATGAGTGGGAACCTGGGTAACAAAGAGCTTCGTTGCTTCGTTCCAAGCTTCAAGACGACGGACCCAAACAATCCCTGAGCCCCCCCCCCATCACACGCCTCGCCCTACAGTTACTGACTGTATGTCTGCAGGTTGTAGTCGGGTTGTGGAGGTGGGTTGTACTCGGGTTGTGGTGGTGGGTTGTACTCGGGTTGTGGTGGTGGGTTGTACTCGGGTTGTGGTGGTGGGTTGTACTCGGGTTGTGGTGGTGGGTTGTACTCGGGTTGTGGTGGTGGGTTGCCCTCCCCTCCCCCCCCCATCACACGCCTCACCTTACAGTTACTGACTGTGGCCCCCCCCCTCTCACACGCCTCACCTTACAGTTAATGACTGTGGCCCCCCCCCCTCTCACACGCCTCACCTTACAGTTAATGACTGTGGCCCCCCCCCCTCTCACACGCCTCACCTTACAGTTAATGACTGTGGCCCCCCCCCCTCTCACACGCCTCACCTTACAGTTAATGACTGTGGCCCCCCCCCTCTCACACGCCTCACCTTACAGTTAATGACTGTGGCCCCCCCCCTCTCACACGCCTCACCTTACAGTTAATGACTGTGGCCCCCCCCTCTCACACGCCTCACCTTACAGTTAATGACTGTGGCCCCCCCCCCCTCTCACACGCCTCACCTTACAGTCACTGACTGTGGCCCCCCCCCTCTCACACGCCTCACCTTACAGTCACTGACTGTGGCCCCCCCCCCCTCTCACACGCCTCACCTTACAGTCACTGACTGTGGCCCCCCCCCCTCTCACACGCCTCACCTTACAGTCACTGACTGTGGCCCCCCCCCCTCTCACACGCCTCACCTTACAGTCACTGACTGTGGCCCCCCCCCCTCTCACACGCCTCACCTTACAGTCACTGACTGTGGCCCCCCCCTCTCACACGCCTCACCTTACAGTCACTGACTGTGGCCCCCCCCCTCTCACACGCCTCACCTTACAGTCACTGACTGTGGCCCCCCCTCTCACACGCCTCACCTTACAGTCACTGACTGTGGCCCCCCCCCTCTCACACGCCTCACCTTACAGTCACTGACTGTGGCCCCCCCCTCTCACACGCCTCACCTTACAGTCACTGACTGTGGCCCCCCCCCCTCTCACACGCCTCACCTTACAGTCACTGACTGTGGCCCCCCCTGACACGCCTCACCTTACAGTCACTGACTGTGGCCCCCCCTTGAGGTTATCTTGAGGTTATCTTGAGATGATTTCGGGGCTTTTTTTAGTGTCCCCGCGGCCCGGTCCTCGACCAGGCCTCCACCCCCAGGAAGCAGCCCGTGACAGCTGACTAACACCCAGGTACCTATTTACTGCTAGGTAACAGGGGCATTCAGGGTGAAAGAAACTTTGCCCATTTGTTTCTGCCTCGTGGTTTCTGCCCCTGACACTGTTTCTGTTTCTGTTTCCCCCTGACACGCCTCACCGTACAGTCAGTGACTGTGGCCCCCCCTGACACGCCTCACCGTACAGTCAGTGACTGTGGCCCCCCCTGACACGCCTCACCGTACAGTCAGTGACTGTGGCCGCCCTGACACGCCTCGCCTTAGTCAGTGACATTCTTGCTACCATTAATAAGGTGATCTATATTATGTTTTTTCGCGTAAAAATGTTTTGCTTTAATTTTGAGAGTTATATCAGTAATTCCGGAGTGAATTTTTGGTAAGAATGATTAGGTGTATGTCAGTGGTTGAGGAAGGTCGCCCCGTATAGGCTGAGGAAGGTCGCCCCGTGTAGGCTGAGGAAGGTCGCCCTGTGTAGGCTGAGGAAGGTCGCCCTGTGTAGGCTGGTGAAGGTCGCCCCGTGTAGGCTGGTGAAGGTCGCCCTGTGTAGGCTGTGGAAGGTCGCCCTGTGTAGGCTGGTGAAGGTCGCCCTGTGTAGGCTGTGGAAGGTCGCCCTGGGTAGGCTGAGGAAGGTCGCCCTGGGTAGACTGAAGAAGGTCGCCCTGTGTAGGCTGATGAAGGTCGCCCTGTGTAGGCTGAGGAAGGTCGCCCTGTGTAGGCTGATGAAGGTCGCCCTGTGTAGGCTGTGGAAGGTCGCCCTGGGTAGGCTGAAGAAGGTCGCCCTGTGTAGGCTGGTGAAGGTCGCCCTGTGTAGGCTGTGGAAGTCGCCCTGGGTAGGCTGAAGAAGGTCACCCTGTGTAGGCTGAGGAAGGTCGCCCTGGGTAGGCTGAAGAAGGTCGCCCTGTGTAGGCTGTGGAAGGTCGCCCTGGGTAGGCTGAAGAAGGTCGCCCTGTGTAGGCTGGTGAAGGTCGCCCTGTGTAGGCTGTGGAAGTCGCCCTGGGTAGGCTGAAGAAGGTCGCCCTGTGTAGGCTGGTGAAGGTCGCCCTGTGTAGGCTGTGGAAGTCGCCCTGGGTAGGCTGAGGAAGGTCGCCCTGTGTAGGCTGAGGAAGGTCGCCCTGTGTAGGCTGAGGAAGGTCGCCCTGTGTAGGCTGAGGAAGGTCGCCCTGTGTAGGCTGAGGAAGGTCGCCCTGTGTAGGCTGAGGAAGGTCGCCCTGTGTAGGCTGAGGAAGGTCGCCCTGTGTAGGCTGAGGAAGGTCGCCCTGTGTAGGCTGAGGAAGGTCGCCCTGTGTAGGCTGAGGAAGGTCGCCCTGTGTAGGCTGAGGAAGGTCGCCCTGTGTAGGCTGAGGAAGGTCGCCCTGTGTAGGCTGAGGAAGGTCGCCCTGTGTAAGCTGAGGAAGGTCGCCCTGTGTAGGCTGAGGAAGGTCGCCCTGTGTAGGCTGAGGAAGGTCGCCCTGTATAGGCTGAGGAAGGTCGCCCTGTGTAGGCTGAGGAAGGTCGCCCTGTGTAGGCTGAGGAAGGTCGCCCTGTGTAGGCTGAGGAAGGTCGCCCTGTGTAGGCTGAGGAAGGTCGCCCTGTGTAAGCTGAGGAAGGTCGCCCTGTGTAGGCTGAGGAAGGTCGCCCTGTGTAGGCTGAGGAAGGTCGCCCTGTATAGGCTGAGGAAGGTCGCCCTGTGTAGGCTGAGGAAGGTCGCCCTGTGTAGGCTGAGGAAGGTCGCCCTGTGTTGGCTGAGGAAGGTCGCCCTGTGTAGGCTGAGGAAGGTCGCCCTGTGTAGGCTGAGGAAGGTCGCCCTGTGTAGGCTGAGGAAGGTCACCCTGTGTAGGCTGAGGAAGGTCGCCCTGTGTAGGCTGATGCGCCTGTGTAGGTTGAGGAAGGTCGCTACTGTGCAGGTTGAAGAAGGTCGCCATATGCGCAGGTTTAGGAAGGTCGCCACTGTGCAGGTTGAGGAAGGTCGCCTCTGTGCAGGTTGAGGAAGGTCGCCACTTTGCAGGTTGAAGAAGGTCGTCTCTGTATAGGTTTAGGAAGGTCGCCACTGTGCAGGATGAAGAAGGTCGCCTCTGTGTAGGTTGAGGAAGGTCGCCACAAGTGCAGGTTGAGAAAGGTCGCCACAGTGCAGGTTGAGAAAGGTCGCCACAGTGCAGGTTGAGAAAGGTCGCCACATTGCAGGTTGAGGAAGGCCGCCTCTGTGTAGGGTGAGGAAGGTCGCCACAGTGCAGGTTGAGAAAGGTCGCCACTGTGCCGGTTGAGGAAGGTCGCCACTTTGCAGGATGAAGAAGATCGCCACTTTGCAGGTTGAGGAAGGTCGCCACAGTGTAGGTTGAGGAAGGTCGCCACTGTGCAGGTTGAGGAAGGTCGCCACAGTGTAGGTTGAGGAAGGTCGCCACTGTGCAGGTTGGGAAAGGTCGCCACTGTGCAGGTTGGGAAAGGTCGCCACTGTGCAGGTTGAGGAAGGTCGCCACTGTGCAGGTTGAGAAAGGTCGCCACTGTGCAGGTTGAGGAAGGTCGCCCTGTGCAGGTTGAGGAAGGTCGC